AATCCCATATCGGGTTCCCGGTGCATGGAGCCTGCTTCTCCCTCTGCCTATGTCTCTGCCTCTCTCTCTCTTTCTCTGTGACTATCATAAATAAATAAAAATTAAAAAAAAATTAAAAAAAAAATAAAAATGTAATCGAGTGATAAGGCCTTTTAAAGATTTTTCTATGGCCTGAATACCCACCAGAAGACTGGCAATTGCTCATTCACTAAAATGAAAATGTGGGCCTTTTCTAAGGAGAGGTTCCCTTTGGAAAATTCACCAGGAGGGCTTAGGAAAGGGGAAGATGGTGCCTGGACTGTCTCCTTGCTCTTGTGACCAGCACATCTCCTGATTCACTACACCCATGTGACGGAAGTTACTCTGTCTCCACTCTGAGCACCAGCTGTGGGGGACATTCATGGGCCAGGGGTGCGTTTCATCAGGAGAGCGGCATCACTGGTGGGAGAGAAGCTCTTAGTGACAACCCAGTGCTTTCTTTGAGCCTTCGTAATTTATAAGGACCTGACACGTTTCTTCACCTGGAAAAGAGTGTAATAGAACTGGCCTCCCGGTATCGAGAGCCTGTTTTACCAAGACTGCTGACCAGTTATTTTCCCAAAGCTGTAATGACCCCATGCATGAACATTCATTTTTGTGATGTTTATTCTAATGGAGTTGAGGTATGAATATGCTTTAAAAAAATTCTATCCTTAATCTTCCATTTGCAAAAGAAATTAATACATTATAAAAGTTTCAAATGGATGGTGTCTGCGTCTTCTCTATGAGATCATAAAAAGTGTCTCTAATGGTATTTTTGCTAATAAATCTGCCTAGAAGACTTGTGGCTTGTAGGAAAGCATAGCCTAACAGGCATGCGTGTGTGAGCTGTGATGGCTTTATATATGTTCATTTTTATTTGGTATCGGTACAGCAACACCAACCCTTTTCAAGGTTGGTCACTGACTGTGGATTTACTGCAGAGGAAAGAAACACCACATCATGCCTGAGTAAAATATGTGTGCGGTTCTTGCATATTCATACTAAACCACAAAGGTATCTTAAGTTAATTATCGAGCTACTTAAAAGGCAATGTGCTGCTTTCCTATGACCTTCTCATCTGCCAAAATGTATGCTGCACATCACAGCATGATTAGTTAATACCAATTCACAAAATGGAATGCACTTTCTGAATCCTATAGCTCCTCCAGTAAATAAATTGGCCGCACACTTATCTCATGCCAAATGTGCCAGTGATAGAGTTTTTCTAGATAAAAGGAGATATATCAGTATGGAAAGCAGCTGCTGTGATCTTTAGGTGACACTGCGCCAATGAAACCGCCTCGCTTAGTAATCAAGTCAAATTTTACTTGCTGATAAAAACGCTCCCGAGGGCCAGTCCACTTGCGGTGGCTTCATCCATGCGCCGTGCTGTTCCAGATGGCGTGGAATGGACACGCTCACAACCCAGTTCTTGTTGGTTTCATCTCCTCTCTTCTACAAAAGGCACAAAGCAGGCACTTTGATTTGATGCTGTGTCGTCTGAGTTGTAATCCAGGATTGTGTACCTCAGCTCTGCTGTGCCTACGTTCCCCCCCCCGCAGGGAGAATGGCTTTTTCAGGCAGCTCTTGGTTACTGTCTGAGGCTGGAGGCAGCCTGGTGCTCCTGAGCTTCCAGAATTCTGACCGCATGTAAGCCCCACCCCAGGTCTCCCCAGCCAGGGACACCTCGCCAACCCTGCCCACATCCTACACCCTTTGCGAATTAGAAAGGTTTTCCCACACCTTGATTCCCTCCCCATTTACAGTCCATGGGGGTTGGGGGAGGACCTGAGATCCAAGGAGCAGATGCAGAGGCCCTGGGACCTCTCCTTGGATGCCAGTCGCAACCAGTCACTTGGAAAGTATGCACGAGGCAGGATGCCCCTTGCTGTATCTAGTTAGTAAGGGGAGACCTCTGAGTCAGCACCAGTAGGTGGTTCAGAATGAGTAGAGAATGAGACCTGGAGAATTATTATTTCCCAGATGCTCCAGGCTGGAGCATGGGGTCTTCCTCCCCACCCTGCCCACGGGTTACTAACACCCATCCCTTCTTTCTTTTCCCTGGTGAGTGTATGAGGCCAGCAGAGCTTCTGTCTCAGCTTCACTGGTCCTACCATCCTATTAGTGCAGACAGCAGGAAAGGGGGTGGTGACATCTCTGCTCTGTGGCTTCCAGGCAGACCCCCGTTTTGGGAGAGGGCATGAGTATTGAGCTGGTCTTTGCCAAAGAGTGGGTGCTCAGCCCAACTGGGGTGTAGGTCTTTCACCCACACTCCCCACCTCCCCTCAAAGAAGAAGGAGGAGATGGCCCATCCCCTGGGGCTGGGAACCTGCTTAGTGGCTGATTTAGAGAGAAGCTGTCTCCACGGGGCCATTACAAGTTTTGGCATGGGTACACTGATGAGTTCCCTTGTCTCTCTGAGGCTCTTTAAAAATTGCACGGAGTTAGCCAGATCCTGCTGTGAGCTGCTATGGTACTTTGCGCCCTTAAAAAGTCTCCCTGTCCTCCTGGTGGCTGAAGCCCCATCAGGATCCATGGTCTGGTAATTCCAGCCCTGCCCCCTCCCGCCAGGCCTGGTGAGCCTGCAGCCACCTGACCATCATCTCCTTTCTTGAAGATTGGAGAAAGCTCTTTTAAGCCCCAACATCCTCCCTTTATTATTCTTTTCTGAGATTACTTCTACTGATTCCCAAATTCTCGAGACCATGAAATGAGTTTAAGAGCCACACAAAACATTACCTTTGATTTTTTATTTAAAAATTAATAAAGAACTTAGTGACAAGTATCATAATTTAATCTCTATACGTAATGCCATGTGTACATCTACATATGAGGGAACACTGTACTTTTTACCTCGGTTTTGTATCAAAGTTTTTTACTTAAATCTTTCTAAGAGAAGAATCGGCATCTGTTAGTGACACATTGCAATTAAACTATGAAATGATTTTGAAAATATTTTTTTTTATATTCTGAAGATAGTCTTATTTTTAAATAGGGATTAGGTTATCTTCAGTTTTCTTTTTGACTCTGAAAATTTTATTTATTTTTTGGTCTAGACTGCTTTCAAACAGTGATGTCAGTTTACTAGGATGCCCTCTTGTTGAGACAGATTTATAGCACTAATTGGAAAGCTGCTAACACCCTTATTTCAATTCACTGGGATAGTCGGGATTCTTAAAACACAAGGGGATATAACTTGTTGCAAACAGTTTTATAACTTCAGTTAAAAACAGTATAAAATACATGAAACACATTTTTTTTTGAATTTTTGTCTACATGAAACAATTGCACTTCCTTCAAGGTACAGGATCAACGTGTCTAGCCTTTTCCTCGCACAAAAATATTTCTCAATTCTGTTTAACTAATATTCAAGGATTTCTATCCTCATGTAGTGTTTCCACAAAAGATGTGTGTTTTTCTTTTAATTAAAGCGTACATCTGCAGTATAGTGTGAGTAACCCCCAAAGGATGCTTACATGATACACTCTTCATTTTTATCAAGTCCAGGTCTGACTGCTGATCACCAGGTCCTCGTAGAATCAAAACACTTAGAACTAAAATAGATTTGCTGTTGAGTCAGGAGGAAAACACATGGCCAGAAATAGCTCCAATGTGAAAAATGCAGGTAGAGATCCTTTTACCAAGGGCAGCCACTTTGTTTTTGGCATCTAATCAATGAGATGTGCATGTCAGCATCAGCACTAGATTAGATGTGAGACTTCTGGACAGAAACGTGAAGACTGGGTTTCCTGGTATGTTCACAAACTATTCAAAATTTAAGTCATACAAAAAAAGGCAAAATAAGATTCCCTATCTCTTATCATGAAAAGCAGAAAGTTGACAGACCAAGTCATTTGTAGATGAGGGGCTTTTGATTTCTATAAAAAGATACTTGCAAAGGTGCAAAAGAATGAGTGGAAAAATAAAGGAACTAAGATTTATATTGCAATGTGTAATCAAAAGAACTCTAAGTGTCACTGTTTATTTAAAAAATGCCTAAAAACGTTTGATTCACAGCTTTCCCCTAGGTATGTCATTGAGTACAACTTACTAATACGTTAAATGTAGGTGACGTTAAGTTTGTTGGTAGCAGCTAAACTAAACACGCGGTTTCTCTTTGAGATGGTCGGGTCTTCCACAGTTGTTTCAGAGCAGAACAGGTTGTATCAAACGTCTGGTCGCGCTTTTGGTGATGAACCGTGTCTCAAAGATTGATCCACAGAAACACTTTCCGGTGGCAGAGAACACCTATGATTTATTGGTGACTGTATTAACCATTGTGTATCTCTAGGTGTGTTTTCAAATTCTTGCCAGAATTTATCATTTGGCCTTTGGGTACCAAAAGATTAAAAATGAGATCTAAGAAAGCTTAGTGTCCAATAGCTCTGACCCTGTCAACTTGCAGTGATTAAAGGCATGTCCTGACTTTGGGGGACTCCTGGCTGCTGGCCATTTGGAAAATGAGCAGTAAACATGTCGCAGGTCTGGAGATGAAGAGAATGCTGTCTGAGGTGTCAATGTGACACTGAGATGTGGTCACTTGGCTTAGCGCTACAGCACATGAAGGCAAATATACATATAGTCACATTTTAGAGATTATTCATGGTCTCCGACCACTTGAAAAAATTGTGCTTTCTCCAGAATTTGATGTGCTGAAAATTGCACTCGCCCCCTGCTTATTTGCAAAATTAAACATAAAAATGAAGTCCTTTGCAAACATAAGGCTTGCTTTTTCTTCTCATTATTTAAAAAAAAAATAGGCTTGAAAATAATTATGAGTTTTAGCTGTGTACAGAGTGACAGCCCACCCTCTCGTGAGCTGATAACGTAACACTTGCCGATCTGGGGGGTGGGGTGGGGGCATAGAATTTTTTTTTTACTTATCATCTTTGACTATATAAGCTTCATTTCAGAGTTTACATCCCACATCCGTGAACTGCAAAGAACAGCTGGCAAGGTGTGACCTTTACTACCTTGCTTCTGAAGGTCATTATCTGTTGGTACAAAGGCCTTTTTGGTAAGCAGGGTGGGAAGTGGGAGGCGCCCGAGCCAGCCATGGCTCACTCGATCCTGTTCATTTTGGAAAAGGATTTACTTAACTCCAGTGGCTTTTAAAGACGGCCTTTAGACTCCACACGCCATGAGTTTTAAAGAAACCAGAGTTTCCATCTTCCGTGCTTTTTAGATTCGGGTTTGGATTTTTGCTTGGGAGTAGCGGAGTAGGGCTCCTGAGAGTAAGGCGAAGGTGCAACCTGAGTCTCCTCAAAAGGATGGAGTTTCTTCAGAACTGGCTGGAGCTTGTCTTCTTGCTGCTTAAAGTCCAGCTCCACACTGGGAAGAAGAGAGAGGGGAGAATTTAGTGCTTGATCTTTCATATATAAAGATCCCTCTTAGTGACCGCAAAATGTGGCAACATCCTACCAGGGTGATGATCGTATATTCTATGGCTCAGTTGTAAGTAGTCAGCTCTGATCTGTTTGAGCTCTGTGTCACTGTGAACCATCTCAGATAGGTTCATTTTCTTCGAGAATGACTTACTTGGCTTTCGTGGAGAGCCTCTGAAGTTTTATTAATGTATTCAGTTGGTGTCAGAGTATATAATGTGTTTGTTGTAATGAAAAAGATGACATCCGAATAGCCCTTTTGCTTGTCCGTAGACTGCACACACGTGCTTCACGGAATAAACAGGTAACCAAAAGTATGAGTGTTCAGGGGCCATCCAGGCACAGATAGAGCAGGGGTGGGAAAGCCCTGTGCCCGTGCACCTTTTCACAAGATCAGAGAAATCCACAGATCTCACCTCAGACGGTTGTGGCATGACATGACCTTGGGTTATGTTCTTATGAAATCTCATTGCCTACCAAAATGGCAAGAGCCACGATATCCAACCTCAGGGAAAATAGCGTGTTTATAGAGTCAGTGCCATTGAACATCACTCAGTTGTGATCAGAGACAGGTTTTTAAGCAAGAACACGGTGTTTGGTGAAAATAACCAAACATCGTAACGGCATTGCTGAAGCCAAAGTGTGCAGACATGTAGCCATGTGGAAGGACCTTTGGCAGTAGTGATGATGTTTGTGTTAGAATGGCAGGATTCAAGGCAATTTTTTTCTTATGAAATTTCTCCATAGAATACTGCAGCTTGCCTGGTGTCCTTCCTGTTCTTCGTGGCCCATTGTTGGATCCCCTAACTAACTTCTAGAGGGTCCCCTTGGCCTTTGGGATGGAACGCCCTGGTCCAATGACACTTTCTGTGATGGTCCCAGTAGTGATGAGCCTTGCCTCCCTTCTTACCACCCCCATTCCCTGGTTATTTGAACGTGGGCACTGCATCACACCAGGCCTCCAGAGAATTCTGCCCTGTGTTCCTCCATGTCTGGTCTGGATGCCGACTAAATGTCAGTAGATTTCAGTAAAGGCTCAGCAGTGATGATAATACATGAGCTCATAACATTTTATATCTAGTAGAACCGTAAACCATTTATAAACATGAAATCCTATTGATTTAGAGAACCATTAATCCCAGCCAAATTTTGACATTTTGGAAAGACAAAACAGCAAAGCTGTATTATCCGGAGTTTTAAAAACAAGTTCAAGACCCATCTAATGGACCATTTTATGTCTGAAATCCACTGTTCCATTTTTCTTATCATCGAACACTATAATAGTACTGGAAAAATTAAAAATATTGTCAGAGAAGTTTATGGCTAGTTAACCCCTGCTCCCAAAACAAGAATTATTTTTTTTCCCTTCATTTCAAAGGGCCTTTTTGAGTTATGCTGCAGTTTATAGGAGGCAGAATGAAAACCTCGTGAACTCGCGTCTTGCTAATCGAGAACACGTGATCACGCAGGCACAGTTCCCCTGCAGGGGAGTTGCAGACGGTGGAAACCTGCATGTATGAACCACGAGCACAGTTACGCCGTGCGGTGGGAGGGGCAAGGACCCACGCTGCCTTTCTTCTTGTTTCTCCGGGGGCCGCGGGGGCTCTGACAAGTCCCTGCCCCTTTCTTAACGTTTAGGGTCCCTAACTTCAAGAGGTAAAATAATGACTGGCTTGATGATCTCCCTGAATTATGGTGAGGATTTCCGACCCCCACTCCCCGCTAAGAAAAATCAGTGAAAAACTTTATATTAAAGTATAAGATGCAGTTCAGATATTACTTAAGCCTTATTATCTGTTGATCACTCACCCTGTAATGGGAGCAAGAGCTAGCAGCGATAAAGATGCCTGTGGAGGAATTCTTCTGCTTGGACCCTTAACGAGGAGAACCAAGGACCTTGCAGTCAAGTTTGTGAGACATTGTGGTAGCCACCACGGTAGGTTAGGCACCAAAGGGTAGTTTTATCAGGTGCTTGGTTAATCCTGGAAGCGTGCTTTCCAGATCATAACCACCGCAACAGTTCCAGGTAGGTTTTGAGTTATTAGATTGGCAGGCGGGTGCTGGCGTTTCCTAGGCTAACAGTACAATTCTGGGTACCTGTAATTATTGAATTCCCATTAAGCCGCTACATTGGGAATCCTGTTATTAACCAATTTATCACACCGCGGAACCATGTAATCACAGAGTAATCTAATCTGAGTTCTTGTTAACAAAATGACTCGACTCTGTCTGTCGAGTTGATTCCTGTTTGCCCTCCCCCGTTACTGAGAAGCTGCCCTCAGGAGCAGCAGCAGGAGCAGGCTTCTTTATGGCAGGAGTGTGTATGGCCACCATTGCCCGTGGGACAGCCCCCTGCTGGGGCTGGCAGTGACCTTGAGCCATGTCCCTCCCTCCCCTCCTGTCCCTCACAAGTGCCAGTGCATCTGCCTGTGGGACGTGTGCCCCGGCTGTCAGACACATGATGTGTATCACTGTGTACACTCTTTTCCTCTGGGGGCCTTTGGTCATTATGGAAGGAACACACCAAGTCACCGGGTTGATTGGAAGCAGACAACTGGCTGGAGAGGGCAGTGTCTGAAGGTTAGTAGTCTGGCCAACTCTGGCAGACACAGAGCAGAGGTCCCTTTAGTTAAGAAAGGAGCACCTGCTGTCCTGGCTAGAGCAGAGGACTGGGACAGAAGCCACCACTGGACACAGGGCGCTTTGACTCTATGCACAGACCCCTTCGTCCCCCGAGTTACCCAAACAGCACCAGGGCAGGCTGCCCTCACTCTGGGCTCTGCCGCCGATGCTTGTGTGACACTAGGTATGGGGCGAGGGCCCAAGCATGCTGCCTGGCAGGCTGTGTGGGGGGGAAGTGGTCGCCACTGCTGCTGTCTTTGTGGCTCTTACCTTTCTCCCTGCCTGAAACACCTGTCCTTGCTGCTGACATGACTGGCCACTCCTCATCCCTCTGTCCCCCCGGGTACCCATTTTCTCCTCATTCTCTAGCCACCTTCTGACAGATCCTCTAGCACCACGCCTTTCTTTTCTCCTTCTCTGCCTCACCACGAATAATTATTTGTTTCTGTATTATTTTGCCTCCATCCCTCAAATGCAGGTGCCGGGATTAGGGGGGGATATTGTCCCACCCCCATTCCCAGGACTTACACAGAGCTTGGATCATGGCAGTTGACTCTGTAATATTTACTGAATTAAACAAATGAGCACAGAGCCTTAAAAGACAGATTCTCCTTGGCTTTGGTCCCACTTGCCCTGGGCTGCTCTGTTTGGTCGGCGCCGTAGCCCATGCCCTCTTCTGTCCTCCCATGCTGAGCCCACTCCTTAGCCCAGACAAACAAGGCTTCTCCTGGAAGAAGTTGGTGGGCCTACTCCAGGTGGAATCTGGCCCAGCTCCATTCTATCAACTTAATTGAAGAAGATGGTAAAACACTTTCTGCAGCACAAAGGATCTTTTTGGAGCTTGGTCCCTGTACTTCCAGTTCCTACTTCCATTTTTCTGGAAGAGTCTGCAGTAGGAACTTGGAAGGACTGGATGGGATCGGTAGGGTGCTCATGAGTGGCCAGCTGTTTGCGAGCTCTGCTCAGGGGAACTTAGGAGTGGCATTTTATTCTTCCCATGGGCTGGAGGCCCTGGTCGTGTCTTCCCCTCTGTCAAAGGTGACTTGCCTCCACTGTGCAGTTTGGTTCTGCTTCCCCAGCTCAGACACTTCTCCTCTGGTGGGCCGAACAGATGAGAAGGTTTGTATTGCAAGTCTGAGCTGTAGACCTCATGACCTTTCAGGACCCAGTGGGGGTTTAAACAGCTCCCCGTACCCTCCAGGGCCTGTGTGCCCAGCAGCACACACGAGGCTGGACGCTGCTGATGCCGCCCCCCATCTCCTGCAGGCGGGGGCTGGTGTTCGTGATACACTGTCATGGGGAGATGTGCATTATGCTGAATGCTGTGTGTCAGGAGGATAAGCAGCCTGGAAAAAGTCCTGACTCTTGAGTTTCAAGACCAAAGGGGCCGGAGCCAGGCCAGCCTTACCTGTGCTCGGTGTTCTTAAATGCCTGAACAAAACACAGGCTGCAGCTTGTGCTGGGAGACACACGATGCCCAGAAGTCCCGGGGCTGCATAGGAGGCATAGCTCCCCAGGAGCTCCTGTTATTTGCCTTGACGTCTCTCCTTTCCCTGCATCCCCTTCTCCCTTCAGACAACCAAACCATTTGACCGAATGCTTTGTGTTGAGAACACCCTGTGAGCTGAAGGCCCACCACGGTGCTATTGCAAAGCTATTTGCCGAACTCCCTGTGACTCACTGTGGCAAACAATTAAAGCGGCGGGCCGTAGATTCAATTTCTTGGGTTAGTCTTTTTCTCTTTTAAAAATGGGAGTCTTAGGATGGAGACTTTTCTTGCAAAATTATTATTCAGTACATTTCCAAAGAAATAAAAATCTGTCCTCAGTCTCAGGCTGCTCCGTCAGCTGGCACTCCAGCTTTGTTCTCTTCCTGGAGGCTCTGCTAAGGCTTTGTAGTAACACCTCTTCCCCCACTTGCTTTGCCTTTGCAGAGGAGTGTGGTTGTAGCTTCTCCAGTCGGTGCTCTGCTCGCTTGATGCTCCTATAAATACTTGGACCCTGCCACAGTTTCTTTAGCACGCTGTCGCCAACTCCTCAAGTTAATTTAAGGGGAATGTAGTTAAAACATCCCTTTCTTCAGTCCTCTGTGTGCAGCCGTTAGGAGTTAAAAAGCAAGTGAGTTGGGCTCCCAAGCACTTGTGTTTTCCGTAGTGGAGGAAAACCTGGAACCTCAGATTTCTCCAGCTTCGGCCACCTCGGCGGGCTCTGTAGACTGCAGAGCAGGAACGTCTGTTTTTAATTCTCCCTGAATTAGATCACCGAGTTCCCCCGGCGCTCTCTGTGGCTCTGACTGACTCACGCTCGGCCACTGTGGATAAATCAT